TAAGAAAATATTGGATTTTCTGGGAACAAACACTATCATTTACAAGGAAAGAATTACATATTTTTCCCATACAAAAGTCTTATGAACTCACCAACTTAATTGTTGACACTTTTCAAAACTACTTGTATTCTTAGGAAACCGTTAAACATGTAGTCACAAGTCTTTTGAGGATGGGACGTTACAACGTCGTACTATTCATTTTTGTCATCATAATGTTATTGGTTTTGAAACATACAATAATTGGAAACAATGTAAGATTCTCAATTATATTTATGATGGGTGTGGTTGCTTTGATCATTATTGTACATTATGTTGTGATACTGTTCATGAAGTCATCCACCCCTAGACGTTTCCGTTATCCTGTTTTGGGGGTGTGACATATGGTTGCATTATGATGAAGAATATATGGATGTAATGGAAGCACTTAAGGTTGACTAGGTTATTTGCTACCGAAGGCGAGTATATACCTAAATCATAAGCACTTAAAGAGGCCATTTGGTTTAAGAGATATGGGTTTTCATCTGGAACGGATATCAAGATTACCATCAATCTTATGGTCAAATTAGGATACACATGTTGGTTTATCTCTATCTTACTCTTTCCTAGATATTATACTAAATCCTCGCTTTTTAGCTACTGTGGTACACCACTAGAACTCTTATAATTTGAATCTGTGAGCATTATAAAAACTGTTAGCTTAATAAGATTTTGAGCTTTATTTGTATTGGATTTTATGTTGTCCCATTAGCTAGAAAACTCTAATTAGCTAGTCTATATATTATGTCTTTTCCTTTCATTGTATCTTGTACTTCTCATTTGATAATAATATGAAACCCTAGGCATTATGTGTCTTGTTAGTTTACATGGTATCAGAGCTCGATTGATCATTTGTATTTTAGTTTTTGGGGGCAAGTTGTAGCTGGCACAATGTTTTTGAAAATTTTTGCAATTTTTGGCTATAGTTTTCTTGCTTGTTTCTGTATTCTGTTTAATTTGATTTGTTGGTTTCGTTGATTTCGAGGGTTTCGTTTTGTTTGTTGGTTTTGTTGATTTCGAGATATTGATTGTTGGTGCTGCTATTCATATTTATTGTTATTTTGGTTATTCTTGATTGACTGATATTAGAAATATGGCCCTAAGAGACGATTCTCTTCGGTCCATTGCTATCCAACTCCATGGCAAGACTTATGAAAATTGGAGTTATGTTATGAAGAATTTCTTGTGCGGCAAGACTATGTGGGGGATTGTTACAAGTGACAAGAAGAAACCAACAGATGAAAAGGATGTGAATTATGCAACCTTATTAGATTCAAGGGAGACTTATAACTCCAAGATCATTACTTAGATTAAATATTTTGTTATTCAATCAGTTGGTACTCAGTTGCCGAAGTATGACACATTAAAGGAGGTTTAGGATCACTTGGCTAGGTTGTATACTGTAACGCTCGATTCAGGTATCCTTTATTTCTCAACATTTAGGGTTTTAGACTAGAACTCGATGAGTTGGGGAGCTCTAAATCGTCATGTAGGGATCGTTTTGGGACGCAGGATTAAGAGCCTACTCGACGAGTTGGAAGGCTCCAACTCGACGAGTAGACGCTGGAAAGGAAAACCCTAATTTTCAGGGTTTACACCGTATTTAAAGGCCTTAAGCCGCATTGTTAGTCTCCCTCATCATCCTGTCAGTCCATAGAAACCCTAAATCATGTCTCATCTCCCATTTTTGATTGTGTGTGAGTTAAAAGAGTGTGTTTCCTTGGTGTTTCTTGAAGGAGTCGAAGTTGTTGGTGCGTAGTTGAAGACAGGAGCTTTAGATCCGGGGATTTCTCTATTGTGGCAGCTATATTAAGGTATAAAGTTGATACCCTGGCTATTTTTTTTCTAGATATCGTCCCTTGAAATTTATGGCCATTATTAGCCTATTTTGGAACCATTCTTGGATTTGGGCATTATTCGTCGAAGTTGGGGAGTCGTTGGAGCAGCCGTTAGAGATTCCTTACCACGAGATACCGCAGTCAGCTTGTTGAGGTGAGTTTCCTCCTGTAGGAACGGGTCGAAGGCACCAATGCTGGCCCGTTTATGTATGTTAGTATATGTCGGGCTAAGGTCCGATGTCGGGCAAGGCCCGATGTACGTTTATATGTTTCCGGACTTCGGTACGATGCCGGGGAAAGCCCGAGGAATGATTGTATGCTTGATGTCTTCGTGATTCTTGCATGTACTTGTTTTATATGTTCCGGACTTCGTTCCGATGCCGGGGTAAGCCCGAAGAATGCATATATGTTTATGTTATATGTTTCCGGATTTCGGTCTGATGTCGGGCAGGGCCCGAAGAATGTTTATATGTTCATGTTATATGATTATGTTTATATGTATTTGTTGATATGCTTATATGTATTCCAGATTTCGGTCCGATATCGGGCAGGGCCCGATGCCGGATTTCGGTCCGATA